GTTCTGAGATATTCTTTCATTCATTTGTTTGTTTACTTGTCTGTCACTGGGATGTAAGCTCCCTGAGGGCTGACTGCCACTGTCCAGCTCTCTGCTAGGCCCCCAGCTGAGCATGTTGCGCCTGGTGCATCACTGGCACACGGACATTTATTGCTGAATTATTTGCTGGCACAGGAAGTTACATGAGCCAGAAGATTTAACATTTTCTATTTTTCAATCCAATTTAAGTTGCATTAAAAAAAAACTATCTTATGGCCACACAGAAAAATCTGTGGTAAGTAAAGCCCTTACCTGAGTGTTCAAATGTCCCTTACAGGCCAGTTTGGAGGGATAGATTCATATTCAAAAGATGCATCAGTATAAATAAAAAGACAGCCGGGCTGCAAAGAGGATAAAGTCAAACTTAATACTAGGAATTGAAAATAACAACATCCGTTTATTTGGATGGAACAACTCCACAGAGTAGTTATTTCCCAATTCCAAAAGAGGTCAACTTCTTTCTTATCATCAAAATCCCACAGGGATTTAATGCCCCGAGTGCTGTCTCCAACAGGAAGGAAACCCTGACTTCCCTAGCTATTTCAGTTATATAAATCAACAATTTATCGTCCCAAGTTAGAAGCTGGGCAGTGTTGGGACCCACATGCCTTTTAGAGCTGCCCACCAACGGATAACCACGTTACATTACATCTAATAAATGTACCTAGATCAATATCATTTCTAACTATCCAAGGGTTTTTATTGCTGTAAGGATCTTTCAGTTCAAAAAAAAAAAGTTTAAAAAACTTCCTGTTAGATAAAAGAGACTCGGTGGTGGCGCCACCATCCACCAGAGTGAAGTCTGTGGTGCACAAGAGATACAGCATAATTTCAAAAGGGATAATAATCCCTTTAAAGTTGTTTACCTTACGTTTTATATTTTAAAAATAATAAACTGCTCCTTTCCTATACAATGGAATAAATGTCTTTAAAAGAATTAAGATTATACAATGGAATAAATGCCTTTAAACGAATTAACATTAATTTCAGATTGGCAGATACTTCTTGGGCTCAATAGTAAACTCAGCGTGTGTGTGTGTGTGTGTGTGTGTGTGTGTGTGTGTGTGTGTGTGAGAGAGAGAGAGCGAGAGCGAAATATTTTAAGGGGTGGGGGAAAGATCTTTTCTTCAAACTTGGGAGTGGTGCAGTGAAAGCCTTAACAGATTTTTCACCCACTATTTCCCCCTACCTCCAAAGTGCTAGCTATCAGGGGCAAGTGCCATCTGTCCCCACATGAGTAAGTGAAAAGGGCTGGGCCCAACTCACCAGCCATGATGGGCTTTCACTAATTGCTAAGAAAGAACCCTCTTACAAAAAAAGCAAAAAAAAGTGTCCTGCCCTCCCCAGCCCCCACCCCCAGAGGTTAAGTTAGCATCTTCACAGCTCTCTGGATCCTTGAGACCTCAAGGTAAATTCTGATTTCCTCATGGTCACTAAGCCACAAACTCAATGTACTGTTATTGTGTAGCAAAAAATGACTTTGTCCATCACTTTCCCAGTCTTTTATCCCCAAATCCGATCTGCTACCCTAAAAGAATGGTTCTTCTTTCAAGGTTCTAATGTGTAAGAAGAGATCACTCACCAGGTCATTGCTGCATATCACTCACTCAAGCAGTTCCAAAATATGGATATTTAGGTTTATGGTTCACTTTCTTTTTTCTTCCCACAATTCAAGTTCACTGTTATCTTCTATTTTGCCTGTGGTCTAATTATAGTAATACATCTCCTTGGCCTTAACTCAGACATTACCCCATTTTATAGAGGGAGAAAGCAAGGCCAAAGCAAACACAAACCCTTGCCACATAGCAAATCCATCTCACGTCTGCCATTCTGAACACAGAAAAATGTTACTAGACCCAGGTGGGCAGTGGGTTTTTCAAGAGACATATCAAATTTCTTTCTCTTTGCTCTTAGGGCATATCTAGCTTGGCAAAATGTCAAGTGCTTCCTGCTCTGGGAGTCCAGGCCAGAACCCTAATCTTCTGAGCACAACAATCAACCTTTACTGCACACCAACCATGTGCTAGGCACTGTGCTGGCCGCCTCCTGTTCATTATCTCAGATTCATTCATTCACACGTCTACGAAGCACTTCCCATCTGCAGGCGCCTTCAAACACATTCATGGAAATGTGACCCCCTCAAGTATTTAGTAACATGACAATCTTGTGCTGTAACTTATCCAAGGCCACATGGCTAGGAAGAACAGACCCAGAAACTGAATCAGGTCCTTCTGACTTCAAAGATCCCCCTTCCCTAACACCCCACCATGATAGTCCTAATGGTTTCATTTCAAATCATAAATATGTGCCAGCACTTCTCTACCCTGTCACAAGACACCTTAAGCCCTGAGCTCCCCCACCATCTTTCCCCTTCCCCTCAGGGCAGTGCCTACAGCTGACCAGGAAGAGGCGGCAGAAGAGCAACCAGGTCTGAAGCAGCTTCCTGCCTGGACTTGACTACCCCAGGAGCAGAGGGCCCAGGAAACTCTCCAAGCACTTCTCCACAGAAGAAAATAGCTCGAGTTGAAACTTGTGTCCACATGGTCCACCGACAGATTTAGAACTCAAATTATAGCCTCGGCAGGAGTCTTCACAAAGGACTCAAATTAAGCAAGACCCAGATGGAAATGAACAGGAGAGAGACAGCCTTAAGTCAAACTGTAAAGTGACCTGCAGTTCTAGCAGAGTCAGAGGGAGGAACTTGTTGAAACGCTAAACTAAACAGAAGTTTAGCCTCTATTTCAGAACTCCACTTCAGGAACATTCTCCCCACGTTTTTAGCCTGAGACTTGTATGTGGACACGAAGTGGTTACAAGTTACTCAGGTTTCAAACTGAGTTCATTCCTGTCCTTTGGACCATCTCTCAATGCCAGCATTCATCTACTTGGGCTCCAGAGAGCTCTGCGTTTGGCAAAACAGATAAAATTAGCTACTGGAGTGAACTTGGAATCCAGGGTGGGCCATTAAAAAAAAGTACACATGAGATTTGTAAAGGCCACGTAAAAACTTCCTTTGGGCCAGGCTGAAGTCATCTAAAACGTAGAGAAATGAATTCAAATCCCCTGATCCTTGCCTCCCTTCCACCCTTCCTGGATCTAACGTGACCCATTTCCTGCTTCTTGCCCTGCCTTCCAAACCAGAGTGGCCCACAAACTGAGGATTCTCTAGAGATCAAGGGGTAAATCAGAGGGCCTAGGGAGAGAAAACACAGCAGGAAAGCCTAAAGAAGTGTTTTTCTTCTCCTTTTTTTGGAGGGGTGGGAGTGTGGTGAGGGAAGTGAGTTACACTACGCAGAGGGAGAACTGAAGGATGGGACAGGAAGTGGGTCAGTCCCACAACTTGAAAGTGTGATAATGGGGGGATAATGCCCCAGCCCTGTCCCTCCCACCTCTACACTCGCCTGACAACACTGCAGTGGCTTCATGGCTCAAAAATGGAGTAACCAAGACCGTCATCTGGCAATAGCTCCTGCTCCCCTAAACCTAGCAGGTCTTAAATTGTAAGAGAAAACAGCGTTTTTTGCCTGTCTCCCAATTTTCCTTCCAGTCACACAATCCTCCAGGTCCCTGAAAGCTGAGGTAAAAGTTCAGAGAATATCCCTAATCTGGCATTCCAAGAAGACTGGGGTTGGGGGGCAGGGGGGCTTGCATATTTCTGATCCCTCCTTCCAGAATGGAGAGAAGTGGGTACCACAAACAGAAGTAGGGGAACCTTGAAGTTGGGGGCTCCAAGGAGAACTGAGGGAAGAGTTTCTTCCTTAAAGACTCAGAAGGGGAACCTCAGGAAAGGGGGAATGTCCTCAGACAAGTGGAAGAGGAACCCCCGGGAATGCAGGGGGTCCCTTCAAAGAAATGAAGAAATCTACCGTGTCTTCCATCAGAGACGAGGTATCTTGGAACAGTGGAGGCACATTTCAGAGATGTGAGGAACCTAACAGGGAGTGGGACATCTCATATTAGGAAGAACCTCTGGAGATGTCAGGGACCCCTCCAAACATTGTGGCATCACAGATTAGCAGGGGACCCCCCAAAACAAAAAAATTTTGGAAAGGTGGGAATGTTTCCTCAGACAAATAAGGATCCAATTAGAAGTATGGGCATTTCAGAGTAGTGGGGGTGGGGGGCGCCTCAGGAAAATGGCGGTACTCATCAAAAAGTGGGTCTGGAGGAGAGAGTAACAGCTTAAGGGTAGAACGCGTCCTTAGCGTGCACAAGGTACTGGGTTCAATCCCCAGTATCTCCACTGAAAAAAAAAATTAGGGGACCCCATCAAAAATGGGGACAGCTCAGAAAAGTGGGGAACATTTCCAAGAAGGATTCTGACAGAAGCGCACCTCAGATTAGTTGGGGGATACTTGGGGAAAGAAAGAGATCACCCAAAGAAGTTGAGACAGAAAAGCAGTGAGAGCATCGCAGAAAGGCAGGGGGGCAGGGGGGAACATCTGAAAAGTAGGGGGGACACCTTAAAAAATGCAAGGGAGAAAAAGGAGCACAGAACAGTGGGACAACAGCTCAGAGAAGCAAAGATCTCCTCAGAGAGGTGGGGGTCCCCCACAGAAGTGAGGGGAGGGTCCCCTGGAAGCAGAGATGTCTCCTGAGAGAAGCGGGGGTCCCTCAGGGAAGCAGGGTATCCCCAGCGAGACGGGGTTCCCAGAAAGGCAGGGAGTCCCTCAGAGAACGCAACCCTTAGGAGAAGCAGGGGTCCTCTTAGAGAAGTTAGGAGGGGTAGTCTCAGAGAGGCGGGACTCTCGGGGAAGTGGTCCCTCAAAGAGATGGGGGGGTCCCCTCAGGGAAGGGAAGCTCCTCTCAAAGAGGTGAGGTCCCTCAAAGAGAAGCGGGTTCCCTCAGACAAGAGGGTCCACGCACTGGAGACGGCCCCCTGGAAGAAGCGGAAGCCCCTGAGAAGCCCAGGGCACCGGAAGCCGGGGACCCGCCACCGGCGGCGCCGGCCCCTCACTCACCGAAGTTGCTCAGTGCTTCTGCGGGTGGCTGCCGGGCCCCGGCCGGCCTCGG